AGATACTTAAACTCTTTGACGACTTCGAAGTTATATTCGTTAATTGTTACGTTTTGCCTAACCCTTGGTCTTGGGTTCTTTGTAACTACCATGTACTTGGTCTTATTCTCGTTTACCTTAAGACCAATTTCCTTGGTTTCGGTCTCGAATACTGTGAAAATTTCTTTTGCAGCTCTGGTGGATTGTGCTATTGTGTCCACGTCATCCGCAAAGGCCAATAGTATTTTTGATCCTTGTGCGGTAAATCCATTTGTCAATTGTGGCTGAGCTTTCCTTACTGCATGTTCCAGTGCGAAGTTAAACAGCAGGAGAGTGAGAGGATCTCCTTGTCTAAGCCCGGTGTCAATGTGGAATTCCTCCGAGGTGGTGTTGCCAATTCTGATCCATGCGGAAGCGTTCTCCGTGCTCACCTGTGCTAATCGTACCAGCTTTCCAGGTACTCCCAATTCTACCATGGTCTTCCACAATGCCTCTCTGCTAACAGAATCGTAGGCTTGTTTAAAGTCCACGAATATTTGGTGTAGGTCGAGATTGAATTTACAGTTTTTTTCCAACACTTGGCGTAGGACGAAGATCTGGTCTTTGGTCGACCTTCCCGGTCTGAATCCACTTTGATAGTCACCTATTATTTCCTCTGCGTATGGAGTTAGTCTTCTAAACAATATTGTGGATAAAATGTTGTATGTTGTATTGACTAACGATATTCCTCTATAATTGCAAAATATTTGTTTGTCTCCCTTCTTGTGGATAGGTATTATATGACTTTCATGCCAGTGTTTCGGTATTTCTTCTCTTTCCCAGACTTCTTTTATAAGATGGTATATCTCAAGATAAAGCTTTTCTCCCCCTTTTTTTAGTAGTTCCGCCTGTACGCCGTTTGGTCCAGGGGCTTTATAATTTTTTAGGGACAAAATTGCGGACTTTACTTTAGCTAGTGTGGGCTCTACATTTTCAGGTTCGGCTAACTTTTATTGTCTGTCTTGCCCCGTTGTTGCGCGAGTTTCTGTATTTAAAAGTTGTGTAAAATACTTTCTCCATTGACGGCTTATCTCCTCGTCGTCGGTAAGTAATTGTCCTGTATTATCTTTTATCATCTTCCAGATATCCAAAGAGAACAATTTTTTGATAAATAAGTAATATAAACAAAATGTTAATACTTTGAAAATAGTCTTCCCGTTTTAAAGTTATATTAATCAATATTAAAATACCGGAATCCTTAACCCTTTTTGGTAAAAAATTACAAATGCTGATTTTCAAAATAAAATTTCCCTTTATTTCCTAATAAACCGATTGAGTTGTGAAGGAGCGTTGGAAAGGAACTTCATAAAATTAAGATATAAAATTTGATTAGAAACGTTTTTGGGAGCTTCGAACCCTAAAAGGCAAAATATTTTTAAAGAAGGTTTATTGCTTCTCGAAATTGAGATATTCGCTTTAAATAATATTTTAAGATACACGCGATTACGATAATTTTCAAAATTTTCTATAATGGCCTTAAGCCAGTATTAAATAAACACAATAAAGAAAAAGTTGGAAAAAGTTAGTGACAGGAAGAAATACAAAACATTAGTAAGTTAAAAAAAATTGTTTAATTTAGAAATAACTTGTTAAAGTGTCTGTTAGGGTTGTTAGGCCTTGGTCTTCTGAGATTAGATCTCGACGTTTGGCCAACACTAACGGTTGGCATCTCCTGGAGATTTTACTGATTCGCTTGAAAGCTGAACTGACGCCGTGTTTTACAACGGAGGCCATTTTTATATTTTCTACACTCCACTGGTTTTGGCGTGAGGGGACGTGTAGTCGTTCGTAGATTTTCTTTTTTTTTGTTTTGGGTAAAGGGTGTTTGTGGATTTTAATATTGGTATCCGTGTTTTGTTAATTTTTAGCCCTTCTTCTATCCGATTAAAATTATTTGGATGCTTATGTATTTCCACCGCAATTGATATGATTGATATTTATTGTCAGCAATATTTTATGCTATATTTACAAGTCATAATATTTTTAGCTTAAGGAATAGTTTTTTCTGAGACCCTAAAAATCCTCATGATAAACGTTTTGTGTGGGGACATTGATAATCACTTTTTATGGTCTTGCAAGTTACCTTATGCAGGCCATTCACGTTCCGACTTGTGGTACCACTAAGTAGGACCACTAGTTGGATGTTCGTCTCCACTCACGCTCCGACTTTCTATCCAACTAGCGGTCCAACTTCAGTTCTAGGATGTATCGAATAAACACTATGCAAAATATAATTAGGAGGAGAAAAATGACAGCACTGTGCTTGTTATCATTATATGTATGTTATGATAATTTAAAAATTAGGTTTAGTTTCTCTAGGTATTTGTCTAGAGCTGAACTAATTAATTTTTTCAACTCTTGATTTTTATGACTTTTTAAGATGTAGGAAAAAATTATAGTTTTTAAAGATTTGTATAGATATACAATCTATATTTTATTTGTTTTAAACTGGAGCTGGGATTTATTTTGTTGTGTGTATGTCGTATATTTTTAATAGGAATAATTGTTCGTGCAATTGAAAGTTATTTTCTATTATTTTTTTGCGAACTAGGGATCTTTTGCTACAACTATGATTTAATTTTCATTGTTTGTTGATAATTCTTCCGTAGCCAATCCGGAGTATCGGAAATTTACCTGTATAGGAATGTTCGAAATAGATCTACAGAAAGGAAAATGATTTGCCCTAACAAAAAGGTAATTTTCGTGCAATTGAAAGTTTATTTTCTAATAAATATTTGCGAACTAGAGATCTTTGCGTAAAGTATTTCATAGAAATCTCATACGTAACAAGTGCCGAAAGTCAACTGACTGAGGAAATTTTCGATCCAACCTGTGATCCGACTTCCAACTTCACCATTCACGCTCCGACTTCGTCGCCAGTCGGAAGTCGGATCTTCAAGTCGTCCCACTAGTCGTACCACTAGTTGTCCAACTAATCCAACTAGCCCACTCACGGTCCGATTTCAGATCCAACTGCAGAAGTTGGACCACTAGTCGTACCACAAGTCGGAACGTGAATGGCCTGCATTAGTGAGAAATATTCACTAATTATTCATAAAGGAATCAATGTCGACAGTAATATGCTTTCGAACGTACGATTTTCAAACGATATTTTTGTGATAACTGACCAGACAAATTTGATACCAAGTGGATATAGGATTCATTATCAATTAGCCTATATTTGTCCAATCCTGAACGTAGACCTCCCGTACAATTTTCCACCTATTTCTATTGCTATACTTGAAAAATCATTAAATCCAAGTTGTAAGGGAAAACCAAACTGCTGAACTGCAAAGAAGAATCACTTTATCATGGGCCGTATATAGCTCTATCAGACATCTTTAAGAGTAACATGTCAAATTACTTGAAAAACAAGACTTCGAATAATGTGTGCTTTTAGTCATTTATGGCTTAGGGTTTGTGAATCTTGCCCAGTAATCTGTTTTTGTTTTTCTTACCTTGATGAGTTTCAGTTCTTATTCTTTTATATTCTTCATATGATTCATTCGTTTTTTTTTACTTATTTTTTAGGAAAGCTTTCTTTTTTTGGTGACATTTTTGTTTAACCCCTATTGTAAACCATGGTGTTTTCGTTGACCACTTTTTGTTAATTATTTTCATTCCAAGGCCTTCTCGGGCAGCATCCAGAATATTTTTTTTAAGTTTTCTCTAGCTCGTCTCTACATTGCTTTCATTTTCGATATTCTCCATTTGTATTTTCTGTTCTAGCCTTCTTTGATATAATGATTTTATGGAGTCATCCCTTAAATTTTATTATTTCCTATGAATTGATTTGTTTAAGTTTCTCTTTTTATTTGTCATTGAATCTAATTTTACCAAGTACCAAATAGTGATCGCTTCCCACATTGGGTGACGTCAAACTTCTCACATCCACTATCTGTGTATGGTGAATATTTCTGTTTGTGACCACATAATCTATCATTGATCTATGTGCTCTTCTAGTTTTAAACGTGTATTTGTATTAAAATTCATGATCAAAAAATCTGTTGATTATTCTCAGTTCGTTTGATATGCGGAAATACACCATTCTCTTTCCGTTTTCATTGATAACTCTTTAGTTAAACCTTTGTTTTATTCCTAGTATTACTTCGTCTTCCAATAATACAATTAATTCATGTTGCTACTTGTCTTTCCACTAATATTTGTAGCTCATCAAAGAATTCTTCTTTATCGCTGTCAGGTTTGCAGACATCTTCTGGTGCATATATCTCTATTATATTAATAATTTTGGTATTTGCCTAATTTTTACTAAAAGTATTTTCTGAGATATGTACTTTAACTCTCTAATTTGATCTTTATATTTTGTTTTGATTATTATTGCTACACCTTCCTTTGCTCTGTCTTGTTTCGGAACCCCACTATATATTATTAAATATTCTTAAAAGTTGCGTCTGTCCTTTACCTTTCCTCTTTGTTTCCTGTAGGGCGCAGATATCTATTTGATATTCTCTCAACTCTTTTTCTATTTCCTGATCTCGGTTATTTAGCCCTTTTATATTTCACGTCGCCACTCTTATTATATTTTTCGTTTTCCAGTTCGTCGTCCTTTTTCTCGCCTTTGTCGTTACCATATTTTCTGTGCTAGTCCGAGGCTCGTCACCGGGTCTTTGAGCTTTTTTTTTATTTTTATATATGGCAGGCTGCTAACCTAACCCTACAACCCTCCTCCTTTATCCGGCCTTGTGACCGGCAATATCACCCACCAAGCTACTCGATGCATCTAGTGGATAATGCAGACGGAGTTATAATATAATTCTAGATATATAAAAAATACATTTTTGGCATAATAAAAAAGTAATTTTAGTGACCTTACCTTTTTGGCACACATAATCTCTAATCTTCAATTTAAAAAATCATAACCATGTTTCATATAGCTACTTTTTTGCCGAAAATTTAACAATAACTTAATTTCCTTGAATACTGTCCTGCAAAGTACATAAAAAGTTTTGGATCTTTTCCAGAGGCAAGGGCCATTCTGAACAGGAAAAGAACTGAAGTGTACAAATCAACTCATGCTTTGGACGTCCTGATGAGGTCCCTGTCAGAAACACTACGTCTCAGTCAAGAATCAGTTTTGACGGTCGTCCACAAAATGGTAGATGTCGATTTTTGGAGATGGATTATTGTTCTCGGTATGTATTAAAATAAAATACATTGTTAAAAGGTTTAAACAATTATCTAGGATTCTATTTTTTAGTTTAGTAGCAACGTAATAGATATCACTAAATTCTTTATAAAATATTACAAATGTTTTATTTTACTTCTTTGGTATTTGGCAACTATTGACATGGTTTATTAAAGAATTTTAAAGTCAACATCGATAAGAAAATATTTTCTGACAAGTTTTATAAGGTTAAACTTACTAACTACAAAATAAGTACAACAGAGATAGGTATTCAACATTTTGTTAGTTTTTTGCTTTATAATTTAATTTATGATTAATCTAGATGAAACTAATAATATTTATGAAGGTTAGGTATTACTTTACCATCTTGTTTTAAAAGAAATGATGAGAACTTAATAATTTTAAAATTATTAAGCTAAATGTACTTAATGAATTTTACCTCAAACTATCGTATTTCTGATTGGTATTTAGGTATGAAGTAACTAGATAGGAAGTGATGAAAAATGTTATTAATTCGTTTACTATTATAAATTATAATATAATAATGAACTTCATCTGGTATGAGATTTTTGTTGCAAAGTTTGACTAGACCTTGTTTCTACAAAGCTGACATTGGAAGTAAATCGTTATACAAAGATTTTAACCTTATTTCTGAAATATCCCGAATATACCACATACTTAGAGTGTCTTCATCTTTCATTCTATTTTTTATTATTGTTTGTGCCAGATTATTTAGATAATAGAAATCTGTATAAGTTCTTGTGCTGCATACGGCTCATTCTTTAATCTTTTTTTGCCGTGCTAACCTAAATATTTTTAGCCAATCGTTCAAGATAAAAGCTGTTCCGTTTTTTTTTTTTAGAATGCTCTATCGCCAAATGCATAGTCGCACTCCATATGATTATATCCTGACTCCAAAAATTTCTGTTCTATGCCTTCCAAGTGCGTAGTATGCACTGCATAGAGAAGTGCAGTAGGCACTTGCTGGTTTCTATTTTAACCTCCACAAGTGTCTGAAAATAATAATGTTTTTAGAACTATGAAGTGTAAGTTTGTAATATACTTTAACAAAGTAGATCCAATTTCGTTGCTGTCACGCTTTCAATTAACTTCATTCCACCAGTAACAAGATGCGTTTTCACCATCTCTCTCATAAATGGTTAAATTGTATACACAGTTTGCGAGAGTAGTAAAATTGGGATACTGGAGAGTGAGGTAGTTGCAGTCCACTTTGAAGGTCGAATGTTGCTGTTTTAAATGTCTTGTCATTTTGAGATAACTTTTTGTCTGTATTTTTGGCTTCATTGCATTTTTTTTTCATATTATGTGCATTCAATATTCTAGTTCTAAATATTGTTTTTTTGTTGCATCTGCCATGTTATATTTACTGCATGCTGCACATTGATCCTTTTTAGGAACGAAAAAATAATAATTATAGTAATTGCCAAAAATTTGCCTGTATTTCCAATGGCTGACTGGCTATTGATTTTCAGTTAGATTTTCTAGATAGCGATTGTACATTGTTTTAGTTGATGATTTAGAGTCTAAACACAGTCTTTGACTGGTGGCCCTTGTATAATGAGACTCTACAGCAGGGAACAACTCAATATGTTTCTTTACCAACTGAAAAGACTATTTATAGCGTTTGCAGAGATTTTGCAACTTCTTTTATCTTCACTGAAAAAACAACCTGCTGAATTGGTTCCTTGTAAAAGCGTGTTTATGGGACCATTAGAAATGCAAAGAGTTCTCTCAAAAAACTTGGCACATACTCTGTGCCGTCCCAACGAAGTACAATCTTGAAACTGTTTTGTTGTTACCATTATTTTTTACACATTTTCTTTTAAATGCTGTAACATTTTTTATTATAAAATCTTTTTTCCTCTTAAAACCGTTTAAAACCCAATATGATTGACACAATGTCTTCCTATCTTCTTCATTAACATTTAATGAGCATTTACCTCTACAATTTGTACAATCAACAAATTTGGGAACCTTTTCAGTGCATTGTATAAATTTTTTATAATATGGCTCACATTTGAAACGTTTCTCTTTAGTAATGTTTAGTTTCCAGTTTCTCACATCTATGTCATCAGAAGAAAAATCACTGTCACTGCTTGATGAATACGGAACGATTTTTAATGTAGTTCGTTGTCTTTAAACTTTTGCCATTACATCATCCTCCTTCGGCACCTAAAATTCAAAAGTTAATTGTCTCTTAGTCTCTGCATGATGATAACCGAATGAAGTAATTTTATGGAGGCCTATTTCCAGCAGTGGACGCAACATCGAGCTGGATTATTGTGATGATTATGAATTACTTGGATAGCAAATATAATAAGTATTATGTGTTTCTTTACCTGATCGGGAAAAGTCTCCTCAGCCTCAGTGTGACCTCATTAACCTTGGTTTGTACCCTTCCGGAATTAATTTTATCCCTTGCTGTTTTTGGAAATTAAATACGAAATTCAGTAACCACATACACAACTTATTATAAAAAAATGTTTAAACATTAAGTGGAAATTAGGAAGTATATATTAACATTTTTTGTTAGTGTCATTGGTTCTTTATTTTCTTTATTTAATACACTTTCGATCATCCTAGTAGTTCTGAAACTAGAAAATATTTGTGTAATATGATTTGGAAATCTCTGAAAAAAAATTTATTGTTTTAAAGTAATTTCACCTGATATTACATACCTCCGAACTTATAGAAAGTTTTGATGAATCAAAAAGTTTGTCTGAACAAATTTTTCTCATTTTGGCTATTATTTAAGGATTTATTAAAATCAGCGTAGTCACAAACTTACAAAGACACAGCATATATTTATACTATAATATACTTTTAGCAATTTTAATAACAACTGCACACAACCACAGAGACTAAAACCTAACCTCAAACTATCATTAAGTACGCAGCTGTCGAACTACAAAACCACGTGTTAAAAGCATTGCCATAGAGGTAAAAATCATTAAGTGCAACCTGACTTTTACCTCCCAACGAAATGTAAACAAAGTGTACTTAATGTTTTTTACCATTCTATAACTGCTTTATTATTGGACGTAGCACCTAGTGAGTTTTACCACGCGAGAGTTTATATGTTAAATGTTACCTACTTACTGAAACAAACATGGTTTTGAGTTAATATGTCACAGTGAATTTTACCCATATACAGAGCGGCCCAAAAGTCTGGAAACGGCTAATTATCTCGTAAAATGCTAATCATATTTGTACAAAATTTGAGGTAGGGTAGATCGGGGCTAGTTGTGACAGGGGCATGTTGTGACAAATAGTTTTATAGACTAACCATAGGTAGCAGCGTCGCCCGGTTACCCAGAATTCCACGTCCGCATGTCCTCAGTCTGTTTGTGTAGTTTGGTTGTGATGCTATGCGTTTCTGCCGCTTTATAAAATTATATGTCATTTCGTTGTAACGAAGTAAAATTTTGCTGTTGTCTTTGAATTGTTATTTCACTTTCAAACCACAAGGTAAGAAACTTATTCTAGTTGTAGTAGATAGTTTGTTTATTTCTCTCTAGTAAGACACAGTTTGGTTTCTATACGACGTGTCAAGGTCTGTGCAAGTGGCTTTATGTAAAATGGCGTACGGTGGGGCTAGTTGTGACGAAAGGCTTGGGGCAGATTGTGACAGTGTCACAACATGCCCCTACTAATTTTAATGCATGTTTATGGGTTTGTTACAGATAATGGTGAGAAATTATAAAAGGAAAACGGAACGTGGTCGGAGTAATATAAACAGTTACGAGTCGGCTTCGTTAGATGTTAAGTCTGGATCGTGTAGTTTAAGGCAAGCAGCTGAAAAATATGGCGTTAACCGGATGTCCTTACTTAGATATATAAAAAAACAACAAACCAATCCAGATGGAGTGGTAGAAATGGGTTACAAAAGACCTCGAATGATATTTTCACAACAACAAGAAGAAGAGCTCTGTGAATATGCTGTTCAGGCAGCGAAAATATTTTATGGTATTAGCCCAAAAGAAATGAAAAGTTTAGCTTTTGAATTTGCTGTAGCGAACAAAGTTCTTGTGCCTGAGAATTGGGTAGCAACAAAACACGCCAGTAATGATTGGTTTACAAAGTTCATGCAACGTAACAATAATGTGTCTATTCATGTTCCTGAGGCTACCAGCTTAAGTCGGAGTACAAGTTTCAACAAGCACAATGTCGGACTCTTTTTTGATAACCTCGAATTAGTATTAAGTCAAAACCATTTTACAGCTAATGATATTTGGAATATAGACGAGACAGGGACTGGGACTGTCCAAAAACCGGTAAAAATCATAGCGAAGAAAGGCGAGAAAAGAGTTGGTGGTGTCACTTCAGCTGAGAGGGGGACCAATGTTACTATGGTTCTTGCTATTAACGCAGAGGGTAACTCAGTTCCTCCTATGTTCGTTTTTCCACGTAAGTTTTACAAGGAGCATTTTGTACGTGATGGGCCAGTAGGTTGTTGTGGTACTGCTAACCCAAGTGGCTGGATAACAGGCCCGGACTTTTTGTTTTTTATGAAGCATTTTGTAAAAAAAGTAAGGTGCTCAAAGAAATCACCGGTTTTAGTTCTGTTAGACAACCACAGTGCTCACCTATATATCGAAGTCCTTGACTATTGCACAGAGCACGGTATTACTCTCTTATCGTTCCCTCCCCATACAACAAATAGACTTCAACCACTGGATGTTTCCGTTTTTGCTCCATTTAAGAAGTTTTTAAACGACGCCATGTGTGGATGGATGAAATCTCATCCTGGAAACACAGTCTCAATTTATGACATCCCAAGTATAGTGAAAACAGCATTACCTAAAGCTGTAACACCAACAAATGTTCAGGCAGGATTTCGTTCTACAGGAATATGGGAATTCAATAGAAACATTTTTAATGAAGAAGACTTTCTGTGTTCTTCGGTGACCGACCGACCTTTGAATAGGCCTATTGACATCGTAGATGGTAATGAGGAAGCCAGTGCTGGGCAGCTTAAAGAGTTTC